TTATCAAACTTGAATTTTTGTAATGATATTATGATTTAAAAAATTTAAATTTTTACTCGTAATCGTGACATCCCAAAATTAGGGTGTTACAAAGACCTAAACTTAGGGTCTTTTGATTCGAACTAGAATAGTATTCTTTGTGCAAACAACTTATCTAGTATAAAAAATATATTTTTGTTAAAATATCAATCTACAAAAACGGAGAATATTTAAAAGCCACAATTTTTATTAAATAAATTAATTCATCCCCTTTTGGTTTTTGTCCACATGCGAGCATGCTGTGCACGATTCTAACAAAAATAATTTATTTTTCTTACGTCTTACATGTGTTGGGTGCCACTTCCATTCATGCACCTCCACGATAAATGCTAAGCTCCTCTCTTATGTGTTGCTCCTTTGGACCTTATCAGTCTCTCAACAAACATGGAAGAAACATAAAGATAACAAAGACATATAAATAAGGAGTAGTAGACATATAAGTAAGGGGAAACATATAATAAAAAGAATTTGATGTAATATTGTGATTTAAAAATGTTAAGCAGCAAATGACAAGCGATAATTAACAAATGCTACAAATGTATATAACGACAAAAAAAAGTGTTTTATGATTTATATGATAATCTAAACTTTTTTGTTCTATGATAAATTATTGTTTTACTCAAGTACTCAAGATTAACTCTAATATTTATACATGTTGTGTATTACAAGAAATATTTCAATAAGTGGTATCAATATAAGTTAATCAACAAGTAATGTCAAGTTGCAAATCAAATGATATTGTGATTAACAACATAGTAGAAATTGAACGTTAATTTCATTGTCTATAAAGTAATAATTTTTTCAACGTAAGAAAGATAGCATGTTTCATAAATAATTTTGTCATCATAAAACATGATGAGATTGTTAGTGTTAGATGCTGGAAAGCCCATTAGACAAGCTTGAGAATAAATAGGTTTTGATGATAATAAAATTTGTAATCAAACAAATGGAGATAGGTTAATACACATATGTTCTGTAAGGGCTTGGATTGATTAGAATTATAACTTACATAAAGTTTTAGATGTAGGAAGGGTTAGTCAATAAATATAATTCCTTAGAAACAAACACATGACCTTAGATGACCTAAAAACTCGTGAATTGATTGCTCATAAATGTGAATATGTATACATATATGTTTTATTCTACTAATGTTTCTTCAATGAGTTTAAGCTAAGCACAACAAAATAAATATTAGGTTTTGAACAAAGAAGCAAACATATAAAATAGCAAGGGTTAGAGAAGTTTAGTTGAAAGCACATGTTAAATGAGTTGAAGGATGGATCAAACGATTAAGGTCATCACATAATCAAGCCATCAGATGACTTATGTTCTAAACAAGTTTTAGACAACTTCGGCTGATTGAAAGCACTAGACGACTAAAGGTTAAATGGTCAAAATATGACTCAATAGTTCATAGCAAAATGAATGCATTAGACAACTATGTTGACCAAACGAGACAACTTAAAGTGGTAAAGCATTGGACTTGTACAAAGGAGTCAAAACAAGCATTAGATGAACAAAGAAATGGAGCAATAAATGAGTCAGATAAGAGCATTAGATTAAGCCAATATAATGTATTAGACAAGTCAATGTAGAAGCACAAAAAAGATACTAGACGAGTATATATCAAACGAGTCAAGTTAACTCATGAAGCAAAATGTTGAAATAGCTATCAAACGAGTACTTCCATTAGAAGACCAAATTGAAAGGATGATTAGACGGATAAAGTGTGAAAGCACTAAACGAGTATCAGATTGATAAAATAAATCAAGTTCAACAAGTCTCAACATTATTAAAAGATATTTTGCTTGAAGATTTTATTGAAGACTTAATCTGAAGAGTATAAAAAATGATTGAATAGTTGAGAAAGAAAACATTCTTTGGTTGAATATTACTAAGACTTTCATATATTTATCAACTAATCACGAGAAAGAGAAATACTCTACAAATCGGAGTATGCAAGAGAATATCCAAACAATTGAAGCCACAATGTTACAATATTTGAAATTCAAATTGTTGAATGGCTAAAATGGAAAGAACTGATAATTCATAGGAAGCAATACACTTTGATTAATTGTTTAGAACTTTCAAGTGAAGAATGATGAAGATATCTGAAGATAGGAAGATATTTAACATCAATGGTCAAATTGCATAACGCAACTATAAATATCAAGACCTAGATGAAGAAGAAGAAAAAGAGAGAAAAGGAGAAAAAAATAGCAAAGTGTTGAAACACTGTTAAATTTATTCTTGAAGAGAAAAGAGAAAGAGAGAATATTCTCTGCTTTTATATTGTTGCTTCTGCAAATATTTCTGGGACCGAGAGACTAACCTGCTGACGTGTCTGGGCCGCTCGCTCGCTTCCAAACTCCTGCTATTGGCCGATCGGTGTTGGCACAAACCGATCGGTCTCCTTCTTCACGAGGGAGGATGTACCTGCAAAAGGCACTCCGACGCTCAAGTTAGGTGTGTGGTTGAAGAGTGTTTACTCTTAATGAGATAATCAGTGCCTGATTGACACTGTTTGTATATTTGGAGAGTAAAGGGAGAGTGTATAATGCTTAAGTGAAAAACATCCCTGGCTTGTGGCTCTGACTTTGTATTTATAATTTACCTCATGGATTATGAATTGATAAAAGTCCAATAAAATTTAAACAAAATAAGATATAAACAGATTACCTGAAAATCATGTTCATCAATATCTTCAACCAAATATTTCTGGATTTGGTTTATCAAATATCTTTAACCAGATGTCTTGAATTATTTTATTATTCACTGGATTATTGGCCCAGTAACAACTTAAGTGTTGGCCTAATTACCATTTGAAGTAGCTTATTAGCCTTGTAGGCCCAATTACGGCCCAAACCCTTTGACTGGGTTCACCAATGACAGATGGACCGATCGGTCTTAGTCACCAACCGCTCGGTTAATATTTCATACAATACAATTGTCATATCCAATTGTTAGAGATTGATATTGGGTTGAACGAAACCATTATAAGTCCTTCATTGTATGAAGTAAACCTTGTGAGTGTGATTGTAACTCTCTTGTGTGGGAAATCATTTTGATTATTGTAATTACGAATTCTTGATATTAAAGGGAGATTGAGACAAAATACTTGGAGAGTTTAAAATCATTGTAACTTGGAGAGGTTTATATTTGTGTTCCTAGAGAGGATAAACTTGTGAACTAGAAGATGAGTGACTCGTTATAACCTAGAGATTTTGATACTCATCGCTAGTTAAAGGTGTTGATGAATGAATTTCTTAAGCGAGTGGCTTGAGAGATTGAACATAGCCTTAGGTAGAGGTGAACCAATATAAATCCTTGTGTTCGTTATTCTCTTCCTTACTCCTTACTTTAATTGTATTTATTGTAATATGTATGCACAAAAAGATTATCAATTATGTACAAGCTTTATTCAACCTCCCCCTTCTAGAGCCACATTGTGCCAACAAACTTGAGGTTGAAATATTAGGGCTTATTTTAATACACCTAATAGCCTTAAATAGCTTAGGAGTTTAGGTCAATGACATTTTAAACACGCATTCCTCCTTCACCCCTCTAAGGAGCTTTGAAGGATAAAATTGTGACATAACATCAAACTCCAAAACGAACAATACCTCAAATGCATGATTTATACTAATGATTTATCTTAATAAACTTGAGGTTGAAACATTTGATAGTATCTATGGAGACAAAAATGAGGTTTCAAAGATGAACCCTTATTCCCCTTAGCCCTTGACTTGTAGATTATTTTGGTACACCAAATAGTTTTACATTGTTTGGGAGTTGAGGCCAAGAGCAATTTAAAACATCTTCCTCCTTTAACTTCCTTTAACTTCCTTTAACTACCTCGAATGCAATGATTGATCTAACAATATTATCTCAATGGAGTTGAGGTCAAAATAGTGACACCATCTGTCGAAACAAATCCAAAGTTCCAAAGGTGAACCCTCATTTCTATTAGCACTCAACTAGAGAGCTTGTTTGGTATATCCAAGTCTCATACACTTAGGAGTTGAGACCTAGGACAATTTAAATACATATACCTTCTTAATTTTTCTGACACCTTTTAAAAACAACGTCAAACTACAAAACAAACAATACCTCAAATATTTAACAATATTTTCTCAACAAACTTAAAGTTAAATATATATATATATATATATATATATATATATATATATATATATATTATAAAACAAAGAACATCTAACAATTTTTTTCCTTTATACCGTTACCAAATAATTTAATTTGTATTTTAATTTAATATTGAATTATTAAAAATAGTTGCAAAATGATTTTATTAGAAAAACACGTTGTCGAAATATCTTTTTGGTTGATTAAAAAAACTATCCTACAGTTGTTTTTTTGGTTTTTAACTAAATAATTTATATATTTTTTAATTTAATATTGAATTATTAAAATTAGTTTTATGATTTTACAAGAAAAAACTGTTGTCGCAATATTTTTTCAATAATCAATTTAAAACGATCTTTAAATTTAAGGATAAATTTAAATATAACTTTTTTATTTAAAAACATTATTAAGTGATGTAACATAATTACTCTAATACATACTTAATTGGATTGTTTCGATATTTTTATAAATAATTATAATAAATTTAAAAAAAAATATAGTATTTACACTATGATATGACTTTTTTTCTCTATCATTTAATTAAAAATCATCACAAATTTTCTAAACAATCATAATAAGTTTGCGTATTCTGTAGTAATTATCTTAAAAACCATATGAACAAATATTTTTAACTAATTGATAGTATAACATCTTATACTAACAATGAATAGAAGTTAAACTCCTTTTGATCTTATTGTAAAATTAAGAATTCATGTTTTGGCTGTAAGATGACGCAAAATAGGAACCAAATTACCAAAAATTGCTATTTTGAATCAAATGGTTCAAAGGGAAGGAACAATAACCTTTGTCTAGATGGTTATAACCTGCGAGGCATCAAAGCGGCCGGAATTCCCCAAAGAAAAGAAAGCCCTTGTGTTGAGTGCAAAGCGAAGGCATGGGGTTGACGAATTTCGTGTTGACCGTGGCGGGTGTAAGCGCGGTTGTGCTTTTGCTCCGGAGTGACGTCAAGCAATCTGCCTCCATCTTCCGCCGCAACATCAAGCACATTCGCAACTGGCTTGAAGAAGAATCTGCCGCCTCTTCCAAGTCAGTACTTTTACTCTCTTTCTTCTTCTTAGTTTTAATTAAAGTTTGAGTTTTTTTTTCGGCTAGTCATAAAACAGAGACTGAATTGGAATTTTGGTTTTGGAGGTGTGAAATTTTATCTGAGATTGAACCTCGTAAATAGTTGAGTAAAACATTTTAGGGGTTTTGTTTTTCTTAAGCAAACGTATTGATTAGTATGAATCTGTGTTATGTGTTTTCTTCCTTAATTTATGGCTAAGGGAACCCTGATGATTGATAGGAGAAATGAAACAGATATTTGATTTCAAGCCCCTTTTTCATTCTTCGAAAGGCTATGTATAGCCATTACAAAAAAAAACATGCAAATCGGAATTAGTTACAATCAGAGGGTCCTTCTGATTTGTAGGCAAAGGAATCTACGAAACGAAAATAACAATCTACCAATTCTAATAAGTAACTTATTCTATGCAAGGAAATATCGTGACTTGGCACTTCTAGAAACATGCTGACATAGTGAGCTCTATGGGATGTTATCCTTCAGATGGGCTGGTGTGGTAGTAATCGTTTTGAGCCTTGCATTATCAAATGGACTGTGGTCTGATTGCTAACAATGTGCTTTAGGGTTAATGTGTTAGCAAGGACAGAGAGCATGGAACTGATGGCAACTGGGAACATTCATTTGTGCTTTGCAATGATTCTGGTGCTGATTTTAGATGCTGAACTAAGACGGGATGGTGTCTCTTAAAAGGGATTAAGAAGTGATTAGTTACTGAAAGTATAATCTAGTAATTCCAATGCAGAGTGGCTATTTTGGTATGCACGCACTTGTGTGAGATGTAATTCTATCATGAGCTGGTAGGTGCAGTGTGAATAATTAATTTACGAGAGAAAACAGTATGGCTGAGATTGAAATACCAAAAGATAAAAGTTCTCTTAAGCAATATCTCTTTTAAAAATCAATTAGCAGGAATAGGCAAAATGAGAAAAATGAGCATGGTACGTGTCTGTATATATTATTTGAAGTTGTAGGGTAAGTATTAATAGATCCCAAAATAGCACACCTTAAGTATTTACAACAATAAGAATACTAACAATATATATTGTACTTGCTATAGTATGATGTTGAAATATTAAAGAAAGAACCTGTATGTTTGCTTTAATGAGTCATTGATTTGTGGGTAAGATGATAAAAATATATGTGGAAGCGTAGATTGCCATGTTTGATCATTTCAATGATTATGATATGTCAAGATTTGTTTGATGAGTGGAATGAAAATAAGGGTTGAGTCATGCATTGCAAGGATTGCACTGACACATGATTATTTATGCGCATTTTGATCAAGTAGTTGTATTGTTTGGGATAATGGTCACTACCTGTAACTAGTGACTGATTCTGGGTGCGCAAAGCTATCCTTGACCAATATCACTGGGGTTGGAGAATGTTCTTCGATCATATTCTGCCTCAGACAGATAACAAATCCTTCACGAATCGGATATGATCAGTTGACTGATCAATGGATTAGTTGAAATCGGCTAGTGAGCTCATAGGACGTCATATCTATTGGCCTCTGAAACTGTTGAAATGTGTTGATTATTTAAAAATGAAAATTGAATTCTACAATGACTAAGATGTCTGTGCTAATTGAAATTTATTGCCACTTGGATTATCGAAATGTGTCCGTGAAATCTGTTTTGCCAGATTTGGATATTTGAAAGTATTTTCTCCTTTATGTGCTTTCTGGGTATTTTTGTTATTTACCTTTTTGAGGTTTGAGAATTCATAAAAAAAAACCCTGCACTTTGCGTCATAAAATAATGCTTTAAACGTGTAATCTTGTACTAGTAAGAGTGTCTCAATGCTTATGTTGTAACATAATTTGTGTCATCTTTATAGGTCAATGGAGAAGTCCACTCCCAAAGAACTTGATTCAAAGGTTCCTCCTAAAAACATTCATAAGGAGGACAAACATTAATGTTTATACAGGTGATGCGGATGTTACTGCAGTAATTGTGTTTTTGTGTTTCTAACTGTCTTTTAATGAATACATGTTTTTGAGTCTATACTACATATTACTCTTGAATAAAAAAAAATAAAAAAAAATAAAAAATAAAAATATTAATAATTCCAAATAACAGTAAAATCTAAAAATAAAAAATAAAAAATTTAAAATAAAAGAAATAAAAAAAAAAAAAAAAAAAAAAAAAATTAAAACAAAAAAAAAGAAAAAAAATAAAAAAAAAAAAAAAAAAAACAAAAATATAAAAATAAAATTATATAACAAAAATTAACATATAAAATGATAAAGTAAAAAAAAAAAAAAAAAAAACCAAACAAGAACAAATGTTGAGTTTGTTTGGATGTGATTTAGATTTGGTCTGGTCTGAAATCACTTGACCATTGAGCTTGGGTCAGTTTTCAGCATGTCTCAATCCAGTTGAACATTCATATCCAAGTTCTAATCCTTTTCAGGTTATGAGGACTAATAGGGGCATATTTAACGAGGGGTTAGGATCCATTTAAACCAGATGTAGGGTCTATGGAGAAACACTTATGAAATTGTTGGACATCCTAAATTCACGATAAATATGACAAATTTAAATTATATATCTGAATATAGACCTTATCTTATTAGTCAGTGGGTTAAGTTTAAAATTTACTTTTTTAACATGATATTAGAACTGTTTAAAACATATTTTAATGATATTTGTTATTTTTTTAATTTATGTCTTGTTATTGAATCATCAATATTGTAACATTTCAAAAATACAGTGTAAGACTATATAAGAGAATAATCACATTAAATAATATTATAGATAAGTCTTACATTAAAATAAATGTATGTTTATGGCCAAACGGCCTTATAGAAGGAACTAAAACTTAAACTATACAAGATAAACAATTCTGACCGAACGGTTTACAAAAGCCAACACCGGACGATCATACAAAAACAAAGAAAAGAGGTGATCGAACGATCACCTTACTATCCAACTAAACTACTGACCGAACGGTTCTACTGTTCGGTCTTAACTTTTACCTCTGCTAAGTTTTTTTCTTCCAGCGCCTCTTCCAGTAGTTCGTCTCCTTCTGCTCACATCCACATGGATGATCATTGCAATAGAAGGACAACCGAACGTACAAAACAGACAAGACAGAAAACATAGGGTAAGCTTATGTAATTTAATTCATGTACAGACATATATTTCACACAATCCAAACCAAACAAGATAAATCATCACTCTATCATACAAAGCCTAATACTAGACTGACTGTCCGGACTGTATGAATTATGTGTAGCTACGACGTTCGTACACTCGGGTGATGTAGTAACTGGGATACCCTCAACAACTGTCACCTGAGGTTATTCCTATCTGTCCAAATTAACCATAAGGACTAAGACCTCCTGCCGTTCCCAGACATGACTTACCCTCCTCTACGTGAGGACGAGTAATCACGGAACATCAGGATGAACCGCCAGCTTAGCATGCCCACGTTCATACTTTACCAAAATCCAATATTCATTCATGAGCTATTCCTCCCCGGAACGCTCGTCCATAAATTTCAATACATTTCATATGAATCATATTCCATCATCTTTCATTCTCAACTTCAATTTTTAACTAATATTACTTAAGATACAAAATACCGAACGTCCACTCCTGAACTCGGAATGAGACCGAACCCTTGGAGCGAGACCGAGAGGTCTCCAGTTCCAGAAAAGATTAAGACCGAGAGGGTTTACAATCGGGATTGGGAAAAGAACAAGTTCACTAATATTTATCAAGATTTAAGAAGGATTGAACGTTATTTACAAATTCAGTCAATTTGATGAACTGACCCATGAGCTTTTAGACTAAACCCCTTAAAGCCTAGAACGAGTACTAAGACTCTAGGCTGAAAACAATAAATACAGACACTACAAGACATTCAATTTATAGTACTTCAAGGAATTATATGAAGAAACCGAACACTGATAAATACTTAGATTATTTACGTTTAACATCAAGAAAAATCGAATGCCAATCAAATACCGAACACGGTAGGGAGAGTAAAATGTTAAATTTAGACGAACGCTATTTTCATCAAGGTAGTTTATAGAAAAGGGAATGAGCGCTTGGTGTAAGACCCAGCAATAAATAGTACGAACACTTGGTGAAAGACCTAGCTCTAAATCGTACGAACGCTTAGTGAAAGACTTAGCATTAAATGATACGAGCGCTTGGTGAAAGACCTAGCACAGAATAGTATGAACGTTTGGTGAATATAGGATATCATTGGACTAATGTTCAAGAACGAACGGACGTACTACTACTCAGGTAAACTTAATTTTATTTTAAAATACCCAGGAAAGGATATCCTTGGTGGAACGCCTGTACACAAATTGTACTAGACGAGGACGCTCGTCCTCAACATAAATTCTTTCCAAATGAAAGAATCCAGTTCTAAACGAGTCCTCTATAAAAAAACCAAATGGTCAAAGACCATTCAGTAACGAACACACATTATCGTAGGGAATTTTCATACTTCAAAATCATTTATCTCAACTCATTTCTTAACATTTATTTTCATAAGATCAAACACCCATAACATAGCAAATAATCATACTTCATATAGTCAAACATATCAAAAATCATACTTCATATTAATTCATCAACTCAACGAACGTACATGCAATTCAAACATCATACAAATTAAATCATATCTAATGTAGCCGAACGTTCAAAAATGGACCACTGATTCCTCTAACAATCCTTCTACCCTCAACGCTCAACGATTCTCCAAAACTAAACCAAACAAAATGCCAGAATTGGGCTTAGAATGAGATTATGAACTCATGCAAACAGAACTTGGTTTGCATGTTCCAGAAAACGCACGACTGAAAAAGGAAGAACTTACCAGTTCAGCTTCACAAACCGAACGGTTTAACTGGAAGCTCTTGACGCCGGAAGTGCTTCTGTGGTGCCTGAATGGTGATCGGAGAAGAGAAAGTGAGTGTTTTCTCAAAGAGAAGATGAAGGGAATGTAGAGAGAAGGAGGAGAGAATGAGATTCTTCAGAAATCTGGAAAGAGGGTGCATGCAGAGAGTGGAGTAGATTTTCTGAAAATCCAAGTTTTGCTTCCCACGTCAAAAACAGACGTCCGCTCATCTGCCAATACCTGTCCTCCACCAGCTGAGTGTTGAGTCCTTTGCTTGACACATGGAATCAACTAAAATGGCACGTGAGTGTATTTTAGTAGTTCTGACAAATATTATGCTAAAAAAATATTTGTATAAGAAATCAATTGTAGTTTATGACAATTTATTTTATTCTTTCTATATATTTTTTTGAGTTGCTTAATAAATCTATCCAAATGTTCCTAAGTTTAAAGACGAACACTAAATCTCAACTTTTAATTTTATCAAATCTGTGACTTAGAGTTATTCACTTTGGTGTTTCCGTGTAATCTAAATACACCAAACATACAAATAGCTCACTTAAGTGAATTAACATGAATCGCGCTGTATAAATGATAAATATAGGTAAAGATTAGCATAAAATGTCATACGAAATTAAAAGGAAAGGAAGAACTAAGTAAAAGGAAAGAAAGGATAAAATGTTTATTTCATTTATTGTGATTACGTAAGAGAAGTAAATAGTTTATAAATATATTATTGGTTTAGAAAATGTTTATTATGTCTTATATAATGTAAAATTTCATCATGGCTTTGAAAAATAAAAACTTCCACTAACCTCCACTTCATACCTTCAGGTTAATAAATGTCCTCAACATGATTATGGCTATGAAATTTGTTGTGCTTGTAATAGTTCCTTGGTTGTTCATTCTTTTAATAATAATAATTTAATTTTATATTTAATCTTTTTAGTTAGTTTACCTCAAAGTATTTGAATTTTTAGGTACATTTTTTAGTTTATGTCTTTCTAAATATATTTAAAAGTAAGCCTTATTGACTTATATATCTCAAAATCTAAAGTTTCTAGAAATACATAAGCATTATTTGTGGCTTTTCAAATTTCATAATTAGTTTTGTACTTTACGTAATTTTGGAATAAAAATATCATGGAAAATATTTCATGAATTATCTACTCAATTTATTCACTTATTTATTTATGAAATGGGTTTGGGACTTATGGTTATTCTTTATTGCCTTATGGGCTAACAATAGTGTTAGGATTGAGAATTTGATGGTTTTTCCTTCAAATTTTTAAAAGATTTAAATGTATTTTTAATTCTTAAATTTTGGTGCAAAATTAAAATTTATCATTGTACAAAATTTTAACACAGTTTAGTATCTAAAATTTAGAAATATTGATAAATTCAAGTTAATATCATTATTATAAAATAATTATATTTTTCATTTTTAAAATTTAAGACTAAGATGTATCAAATTTGAAATGAAGATATATTTACATCTAAATTTAGAGATTAAACATATTTAACCCTATTCAAAATAATCAATTTACTTTTTTAAAAGTGATTTATGTATTACATGTTTTGAAAAAATTTTGGAATAAAATTTTCAAAATAAGATATTTGGAACAAAATTTCTAAAATGTAAAATGCATTTTGAACAAACTTTTCGGAATAGAATTTTTTAATCAATTTTCTGAAATACATGAAGTATGTTTTAGGAATAGTTTCTTAAACTGTGTAAGAAGATTACAATAACAAAAAAGGCTAAAACAAAGCCCAATCTAATTTCTATATAAAGAGACTTAAGAAAACACATTAGAGGAGCTTAGGAACTCTTTGGGGGTTCAAATTTTGTCCTCTCTCTTCTCTCATGTTCTCTACCTCCCTTTTGATTACAATAACAGAAAAGGCTAAAACAAAGCCCAATCTAATTTCTATGTAAAGAGACTTAGAGAAACACATTAGGGGAGCTTAGGAACTCTTTGGGGGGTTCAAATTTCGTCCTCTCTCTTCTCTCATGTTCTCCACCCCTTTTATTCTATTTTCATGTTATTTCTAACTTTCATGGAGTGTTAAGCCTTACAATTGATTGTGCTGTAATTTCTTAATTGGATTCTAAGGTTAGATGAATGATAACATATCTTTTAAACTAATTGCCATACCATTCTTTATTATA